GCCTTCCCTAGATAACTAAATTAAGAAGTGTACATATACAGGATATGACTTAATGTGAAACGAAACTGGGCTCYTCTGCCTGTCAGAGCAGTTTCTGATTTGTAACATGACCTCACTTCTCCATTCATCTTTGGTCCACTGACTTGCAGCTCTGTTTTCCTTTTTTTTTCTTTTTTCATTTGTTTGGAGAGGGCTTAACAGTCGCTTTTGAGATCTGTTACAGTTTTCACATTCAGGTCTTGGTGAATTAAATTGCTTATGAAACAGTTGAGGTAATACAGAACGTAAGATATCTCTGGCTGTTATGTTAACATGACCATCTGCAGCARCGAGGGATTTTTCCAGGATTCACGGGGCTTAATTCACCTGGTCACTCATCTCCTAAGTCGACATTAAAACAAGGCTTTAACCCTTTAAAAAGCTTAGGGAATGTCAATAAATGTTGCTTTGGGGTTATGAAGGTCAAGCTGAGACTAAATTACCAAATAGTGAAGCGCTCTTCTGCAAGAAATTGCTTGAGTCCTGAGTCATAACAACTGGTCATGTGTTGGTCCTGCTGCTTTGCAGGTTCTGGAGCTGAGGGGTATCGGGGTGTCCTAAACCCTGGTGATGTGCAAAACAGGCTGTTACTATTTAGTGCTGACCTCTACTAAATGTCTTCTCTGGCACGTAGTGTTTAATATTGCGTTGGGTAATCCGGGCTTAGTGTGGAAGGGGAAAATCCATTAGATGGATTGTATAAATGCATGATGTGCTAGGAGCAATAGGGACGTTCTGGGAGATGGGATTTTTAGCGCTGAACCCAGTAGTGGTCTGTAGCTGCTCTTGCTGCCTTTCTGATGGGTTAAATGCATGGTGCGGCTGCAGCATCGTGGCAGGGGGGATGCAGCTCTGGGCAGGGATGATGTGCACAGCCAGGAGCCTGGCTACGTCTGTTAACGACAAACAGGGAGCTTTGTGCTGTTTGCAAATGCTGCAGCTCCTGCCTGGGCAGAGGGGTTGGATACTGAGGGGTTGGTTACTGAGGTGGGCAGAGYTGGTGGCAGCCGGTTACAAAACACTACAGTGTAGTTAAGTGCTTAGGTTCACTGCCCTGCGTGTTATGGTTGTGACTCTTTTTATAAAATTCTTCTCAAAATAGCAACTTCACCATCTGCCAAACATCTGTGTTTTCCATTGGCATCTGCAAAAGGTGTTCCCGAGATCCCCAAATCCGGTCAGCAGCTTTCCAGGAAAGCCGCATTCTCCCGTCTCCCCCCTCTCCTTGCCCTTCTGCAACGGGCAGGTAGGTTGGCTCCAACTCTTCTGCCTCTGCACCCTGGGAACTGGGTGTCTGGGCTCTGTCAGGGTCAGGAAAAGCACTGCTTCCTGTGAGGCCACAGATGCGACGTGTACAGCAAGGCTGGAATAAATACTGGATTTCTAAGGAGCCCGAGCTGGAAAGCAGTGCTGCTTGTGCCAGTACTCCCCACCGGGAGGGGATGATGGTAATTCATAAATATCGATTCAAGTACATGGTAATAATTCTAGAGACTCGATGTCAGTGTTAGTTACTCGTTGCAAATGGCTGCTGGGGCCTAATTCAGCAGTTGGTAGAAACACTAGGTGTGCTGTCTTATTTTTTAGTGATATCACATGGTGTCTAATAAGGTATTTTTTTTAAAAAATATATATAGCTTTCTCTATGGGTTTGCCTTATCTGACTGGTGGTATGTGGAGAGAATGAAGACTTGAGCAAAGCTGCAAAACATGCTTGAAACCCAGTCACTAACAACAGTGTCAAGGAGCAAGGCGATAAAACAAGTAGCAGGCAGTGCTGAAGTGACCGTGCTGTTATCAGACGTCTCGGTATGTCCCATGGTGTCAGCAATTTAGAGTCTGTGGCTGTAGTGTGTGACACTAAATGCTTGCAGGGGGCCAAATCTGCCCATCCGCCCTGCYGAGTGCAGCATCGGGGGCAGGAAGGGGTTATTTTTGGAGACTCTAAGTGTTGCTAGCCCCAATTTGGCAAGGGGACTTGTAGTGCTAACTGTCCTCTGCTTCCCTTTCCACAGCACCCGCTAGGGCATCAAGGGGAGTTTTGGTAAGAAGGCGGCCAAAGAAGGAGGGCTATTTGTTTGGCTTGCCATAAACTAGAGGAATAAACGTGCTGGGTGCCTGTAGGTAGATTATTTTGACTTGCATCCTAAGCTTATCTGCCTGCCTTTAACCAAGCTAACAGCAAGCTGCCCTRAACTGTGCCACTTTGTATGGCCTAGGATTGCCCTTCAGCAGAGGTGGGAAGCAGTTTGCTTGGTTGGTTTGCCTTAGATCAGGAAAATCAGGAAAGGGGTGAGGGGAATCCTGCCTGTGAGCTGCTCCTTTATCTCCACAAATAAATTTATTGCCTAATCCGGGCTTATTTTTTGTCACTTAGAGTCCTATTTTTAGAACTGTGCTTYTAGTGCCTATGATAGGGGACCTGACTTCTAACTATGGCTATTAATGTATTTTTTTGACTCTTGGCTTTCTTAACCCACTTACAAACTTGAATAACGTTCTGCGAGCCCGAGGTTGTTAGATAACTGCTGTCCCCAGAGAGATGCTGAGTAACGCTCTGGGGCCCCTTTGCAGCCTGCAAACGCCTTTGGTTTTACTTTTCAACCGGAGTGACTGGGGACATGAAGGTGCTCGTAAACTCCCTGCCTCTGCTCGGGGTTTCCTCTTGKGGCTCCGGGTAGTCAGGCCCGGGGCCGAAGCGGCTTCCCTTGCTGCGTGCTCCAGCAGAGCATCTCAATGTACTTGAACACATTTCAGGCTGGCTGAAGGTGGCTCATTCAGAAATTGTGACCCTGCACTTTCCTGAGATGTGCTGCCGGTTGCAGGRAAGTTTAGATCCCAAAAGCCTCCACATGGGAGGAAAAGCTTTCTCTAAACACTGCCCAGTTGTATTTTCTGGCATTAGAGCTCAACAAACGTGGCAAAACACCAGCTTTGCTTGATTTCTGACCACCCGGCCCTCATGTGGCTGCAAGATGGGATTTAGAGGTTTGGGGTCTGTGAGGCTTGTGCTTGGAGCTCCGTCATCCTTCTGGCCGTGAACATAAGATTAAACCAGTAACATGGAAGCACTGCTGGCAACGTTATTCAGAGTGGCCTGGAGATTCGACCTGCACATAGAGACACACGTAGAGGTTCTGCCAAGGCAGCTTGTAGCCAGCTCCGTCCTGAGCTTTATTGTCTCGTGCGTGTTGAACCTCAGTCCTTGGCCTGTTTTGTGCCTCAGATCTGATGAAACTTAGGCGGGTAAGCACAGGAACGGGCTTTCTTGGGAACCCCCTGTGGTCTGGAGAAGTTTGCAGCTACGTGATGCAGTTTCATATGACGTAAGTCTGCCCTACCCTTGGTAAATCTTGACTCTGCTCCCAGTCCAGGGTAGCACATTCCGGAGCCAAGCGCTTCCTTGCTGCAGCAGCTGCTTTTTCCCCCATAGCCATCTCGGGATAACGTGTTTGCTTTGGAGTGATGCTCGTTCATGTTATTGACCTTCACCTGTGGGCTGGGGTGGTTAAAGCAGGTCTTGAGTTCCTTGGTTGTGAATGTGCCATAGCATGTTACCTGGTGGAAGGGCTGGATGCTGCTCTGCTGCTCTATCACACTCGTGTACGGGCAAACAGAAACGTGAAGAGCAAGGGCATGTTGGCTCCTGAGCTTCCCTGGAAGCTGAACCAATGACCTGCTGTCCTTGGTCACCTGGCACACAAAAATAAATACTAAAAGTGTAAAGTTTAGGTTACAATGGCAAGATGTATGCCAGTCCAGAAGTGAAGCGGTAGCCAGGTACTTAGTAGGTCAGTAAGCTGATCTGTTTGCCTGCCTGCAGACCCTTGACTGCTGTTAACGTGTCCCATAGTTGAAGGCCCCATTAAACGGGGCTCCTGATGTGCCTTGGGGCAGAATGGCCAACAGTTTGGGTAGGAGGAGGTGGCCGGGGCTCTGYTCTAGCAGTGAGTTGGCTTTTTGGGATCCCCCTTGCATTCTCTGTGGCACGTGAGTGCAGCTGTAGGACAGCAGGCAGAAGATGCTCCATGGAGAGTATGCATTGTACTGGCAACGGGGACTCTTGGCATGTTGAACAGTGCCAAGGGAAGGACTTCAGCTCCAGGGTATGGAGAGCAGTGTGCAAGTTCCCCCTTCTTCCAGAGTCTCTGGCACGTGATCACTTGCCATTCAGATGTGTTTTTCTTGATGACTTTTTTGAGCGTGGTGAATCCCAGAGTGATACAAGGAAGTTAATTCCCAGTGCTGGGATCTCTGAAGTCTTTGCAGAACGGATGCAGCTCTGGGAGTGTTGCCCCACAGCCATGTACGGACTTCATACGTGCTGGAAGGTGATGTTGGCTGTCAGAGCCCATCAATATTGGGTTCATCAGGGGCTTATTTAGTGTACCCAAACAGCGTTCAGACTTGCTAAGTGTTTGCTGTGATGAGAAAGGAGCCCAGGAAGCTGCATCAGTTTAACCTTCACACAAGAAAGGTAAAACCCCTTGCATTTCAGCCAAGCAAGTGTCAACCTTTTTTCCTCTCCTTCCACAAAAGTGAATTGAAGCCTTTGCATTGGCATGCATAAAACAAGCCTTTTAACCTCAGCAAATATGTTTAACTTCCTTCTGAACCCAGCAAGGAGCCATCATGGCTTGAGTACCATCTTTTACAGTCTGTTTTTTACTGTTACAAATCAGTTAATGGACATTGCTGCTTGAATTGGAACATAAATATCTTTTAGCTTGTTTTCTGAGCATTGCCAGTACAGGCCAGTCCTGGGGTCAACCTTTTTGTTTGCTTCTTTATTGTTCAGTTATGACTTTGCTAATAATTCTCTAGCATTAAGCAGGGTCTGGTTGGGTACTAATGTATGTAAAACAAACTACTTACTTGAAATTGTTTTCCAACTTGGGAGTCTAATAGCAGCCTGTTCTCCATTTTGTTTCATGATGATTAATTTTTTTCTTTTTTTTTAGGCTCACATTAAATTTCCTATTGACTATCCATACTCACCACCTACCTTCAGATTCCTGACCAAAATGTGGCATCCCAACATTTATGAGGTAAGGTCTGTCTTCAAGCACATGAATTTTTCCTCAGACATGTGAGAATGTGTTCTGGCTCTGAAACAGAAGGTATTTAAAGTATTAAATTATCTCTAGCTATGATTTAAATGGCTAGTTCTTTGTGGTAAATGTCAGCCTCATGGCTGAGCAGTTAAATCTAAGCTTTGTAGGAGGTGCTGGTTTTGTTCTAGCAGGGCTGGAGCCTTTCTCCTGCCTGCAGGCCCAGCAAGGAGTCCCAGCTGAAGCCCTGTCCTGCAGGGAGGGTAATTGGGGAGCGTTCTGGAAGCCTGGGCTCTTATCCCACTGTGATGCTTGGGCTGTTAGTAACTATATGTTGTATTCAAGTGTCAAATTCAATTTGAGATTATTCTGCAAACAACTTGTGTGGTGGAAGTGAGAAATAACAGGAGTTTGAAAGGTTCCTACAGCTACCTGTGGACAAAAGGATTTTGGGACCCACATCCCTTGGCAGAGGTCTGGCCTCGGCTGGAGTCACCCTTCCTCCTGTTTCCTCCTCCTGCCCCTGAGACCCTCCAGCAGTTTTGTGTTGGTTCTTTAGGAGCAGTCATGCTCACGCTMGCCACGCTTCAGAAAGGGTGCCCAGATACCTGTGGGTTTAATGCTTATTAGGCTGTTTGAAGTGGCCCCTACTTAGGTGCATGTTTGGGGCATGGTTGAAGGATGCAGCACTGTCTGCTCCAAGTTCCTGATGGAATCACTGTACAAGTGTGTGGCCGTTCCCTGCAGGAGAGTGACTTTACATAAATGTTCTTTTGGAAGAAACGTTTCCCAGCCTGAAAGTAATGCCTGATACAGGCTGTTCAGAGAGATTGAGGGTGAGCTCACCGTGGAGCAGAATACTGGGGGCGTGCTGCATTGAGGATGTCTATTTTAAAGATTTTAAAGTGTGAGCACATCTGTGCATCTTGGAATGGCACAGAGCTCTGCCTGGGCGCTAGTTTGGGAGCTGGTGGTGACCTGACTGTGTCTGTGCTGCAGAGGCCAGGCCAGCCTCCCTGCTGCTCCCTGTGCTTGGGCACAGCACATCCGARGCTGTTCTCCTTCTGTGACTGATTTATTTGGTGTTTTCTCAGGGATCTTTGCCCTATGTAGTGAAATATGGATAGACCAAGTTCTGTTTCTCAGTGGGCTGTCCCGTATCAAGTGGTCTCTATAATTCACCCTCGAGCTTGGTTGAATTGAGCTGTGGTGTAGCACAGTAGTGTGGGTGCAGAGGTTGTCAGAACAAGTCTTCCATTATCTGGTTACAGTATTGCTCCTAATCACAGTTCTACAAGTTRAGAATTACAAAATTTCATATGTATGAAAAGTAGTATCTAGAAGTTGAAGGTCTGTGGTGGATCAAGCTTGATCTAAGCTTTGGGTGGCAGCTAGTCAAATCCACAGTGAACATTCAGATGTTCTAGCCAAGTGCCCACCTGTTAGGGCTGCTAGTTGAAGAGTTTCTTATGAGGGCTGAGRGTGTTTAAAAGTTGTTCCTACTGGTTGTCTTATCGCATGAGATGTTCAGCACACAACACTTGGCTCTGGTTCAAAACAGAAATGTCACCRTGCTTCTCTGTGATCAATGACTTCAGATGAAGCCTTGGGTTTGGAAGTCTCTTTTCTAATAAGTTGCTGCTATTTAAATATCCAGTCTGGAATAAGCGTCCTTCAGATGCCACAGTACAAACTGCTTTTTCTCTTAGCCTGCTCTGATGTCTTAGTCATAAGTTGCCAAAAGCTTCTCCAGACTTCACTGGAGAGCAGGACAGTAATTTGCTTTAATTACTGGATGCTCAGGAGGATTGTGTTATGCCCGGGGGCCATCCTGAAATCGGTTGTCTGACCATCTTCCGACTCAAGGCTTGGGTTTAATGCAGAATCTAATGGGTAGCCAAGGACGAAGTTTGTTTCAACTGCATGGGAGTTTGATCTATAAATAATGAAAACTGAGACCTGCAGATATGTACTGTAGATGCTGTTTCTGAAAGCAGAAATTCTTATGCAGGAGGTGAGTGGGAAATGGTTGTTCTGAAAACGGTATGTACAAAAACTGAATCTTGGAAAGAGCATTTGCTGGTACTGGTGAGAAAAATGAGGAGAGAAAAAAAAAGACTTAAACAACTGAAGGTAGGAGGGGAAATTAACCCTAAACTTGATGGGTATCTTTTGGAATGACTCTTCAAATGCTGTATGAACAAAAAGTAGAAAACTGAGGGAATCTGAAGCAGCTTACAGGCTGTTCTGGAAGCAAGATCCAAGCAATGAAGGTGAAGCACTGGGATGACTCCGGATGAGACTGCAAATAAAACCAGTGAAGATCTTGAGGTTTGAGAGTCAGGAGTGTGGGGGGGGGAAAGGAATCTTTCAGTGTAATGAAGGTGGAAGTAGCAGTTGCAGAATATGCTGGTGGGACCAGATGGAGAGGTTGAGGCTGACGTTCCAGCTCTGAGCAATAAGCCTTGAGTAACTTGTATTTTCTGCATCTCCAGTTTACGCACGTCATCGGCTCAATTTTGGTAAAACTGCATTTAATACTAGGCTCTGTCTTAATGAGGTAACAAGGCCTTCCAGTTCCCTGTCCTAACAGGAGAATATTTCACCTGCTTTGTTTATTCCTCCTGCAGATGAGTGTGTCATCTTCCTTACTCATGTCCTGTGCTGAGCGTGGCTGTCTCCTTGACCCTACCAGTGTCTAAAAAAGTTGAACTTTCCAGATCTCATGGATCTCTTACTGTTCAAACTCTGTGCAATGCTACTTGTATTCTGAAGCACCTGATGTGATTATTTGCTTGTTTTCCTTTTTTGTTTCTGTATTGTAAAATACCTCTTAGCTCTCTTTCTGCTTATCTGATCACATGAGGACCTTCCTGTCAGCCTTAGGGTGCTTTCTCCTGGTCGGTGGTGCTATGTTCTCTCAGGAGCTATCTAGAGAAGAAACTAAACTAGTGGAAATCGGGAATAAAACCAGAATAGGTAATAAATGTAACACTAATAAGCCTATTTTCACCTTGAAATCCATTGATGGGCACAAATAATACTGCTGGGAGCAGCACTGCTTTATTCTCCCATTCTTGTGGGTAGAGGTTCTCAGAATAAATCTGGAACTTGCTGTTGCTGGTTCATTGTGTTGAACAAAACTCACCTGCAGTGTCTCTTGCTGCTGTGATCAACCTTTACCTTAGATCAGGGTGACAGGGGATAGCACGAGAGCTGCCCATCAGCTGAGGCTGTCACCTGATGGTGACACCTGAGGTGTGGGACTGCACACAGGCACTCGTGAGTAACCTGAGGAACGGGCTGTAAGACGAAGCAAGCCAGGAGGACTTGCTGAGGCCAACATCTCCTGGCTGCCCTTKGGCCCCATTTGTGCCTTTGTCCCATCCTGCCATCAGGAGCCCTTGGAGAAACTTCAAGGAAGGTGCTGGCCAYGAGGAATGCTGCTGCAGTGACTGCACCCCAGAGTGCTTATGGTGATAGGGAACTGGCTTCTTGGAGGGTTTATAAATGGAAGGCATTATGAAGCTTTAAAAAAATCTATATTCAGACTATAACACTKGTAAGTAAGGTGCAGGTTGGGGATTATGTGGCTGTATGGCTTCCATATGCCAAAATATTCTTCGGCTTGTATGCTGGAATGRCTTTAAGTGAAATTCTCAGAAAGTGAAACTTTCTCACCTGATATTTCAAACAGCTGTGTCTAAGGGAGAAGTAGCTTAAACTTGTCCCTCACCATCTGTTCAACCCTGTTGAGTCCCAGAAGTATTGCTTTGATAGCTGGGCTAGTGCAGAGTGCTAAACCCTTGGATTTAAAGATTTCTGTAGCTAATCCAGTTACCACTGGGGGAAAAATTAACTGTACTTCATGTCTCATGTGACTACAGCTCTTCTATAGCTGTTACAACACGTTCAAGATGACTTTTTATGATTTTTTTTTGGTTTGCTCTATTCTTTAAACCTCTTGACCTCGGATTGTTCTGTACCCATTTGCAGACCAATTCCCTTTGTAGGAAAGGGAGCTTTTGAGCCTATAAACAGACCTAGGAAGAACCGAGAGCTGTTTGCAGCTCTTCCATGTATTTGCTAGTATGTGGGGGCTTGTGTATGCACATAGTTAACTTGCTTAAAACCTAGCCGGAGATAGAAGTCAGTTATTAGACTTGACCTCAAGCAAGCCTGTATTCAACTTKGATTTTTATTTTGCAGAATGGAGATGTATGTATTTCAATTCTTCACCCACCTGTAGATGACCCACAAAGTGGAGAGCTGCCATCCGAGAGGTGGAACCCTACCCAAAACGTCAGGTAAAAGTGTGGGACTGGTGATGCACAACAGCTATTTCAGAGGCCTGTCATCTGTCTCCTTCCTAGAGTAAAGCCTATGGAAGAAAAAGATATAGAAAGCAATTTAAGATTGTGGGGGCTTAAGGGCTTGAGTCAGGTAGAAGCCAGACTTCCTCAGTTGTCCCTTTAGGTCCTGCAGTGCTGTGYCCTGAGGCTGGGCTAACAGTGCAGACTCTTGTCCTGTTTGCAGTTTTGCATGTTCTTGAAGCAAGTTATCTCAAACATTGTAGTCTTTTCCAGTCCATGTTATCTTACACTTACGTTAAACGCCTCTAATAGGATTAGCGGAAAGAGTTTTTTTGAGTATTTGAATATTCAAGCCCGGTATGGCCTGAATCTTTGGATCATCTTACTTCATCTTTGCCTTCTGATACTGGTACTGCTGTGTGGTGTGATGTCATGAACAGTTAGGTAGTTTTACTGCCCAAAAGAGAAGAAATCACAAGGTACTAGAGACATTCAAGACTAACCTGTTTCTCTGAAATGTGTCAAATATTAATTTCACTCCCATTGCCAGACATCTGTAGTGTACAACTGATAACAGTGGTATCAAACAGCAAGTCACTGGTGTGTGCAGTAGAAATAGTGGCATTATGGGGAAGAAGTTTGAGTATTACGCTGTAGTAACTCAAAATCATTAACCAGACAAGGCTAAAACAATTGTCTCTAGTTCAGATTTTTTGGTTAATACATGTTAATTTTTTGTATACTGGATAGTAGTCCCCAGCTGTAACACCCCATTTTTAAAGGGATAAATCAAGTTAGGAATTTCAGCCCATAAGATCTGGAAAGGGTTGTCCAGCAGCTTGATTCTACTTCCCTCTGCTTTGGTAATACTCATTTGAAAGGCTCCTYTGTCAAAGCAAGGGGTTTTATTGGATTCTTGACCCTTGGAATGGGATTGTAACRCACGCTACCAAGTGCTGAGCAAGAACTGATGTGGCAGGAAGCTAGAAAAGGTGCTGGTCAGCAAATTGTAACAATTGATRTTCCCTCCTGGAGTGTGCTACTTAAAGGCTAAAAAGACCTAAGAAATGATGTGTCYCAGTTGCTGCTCTTCAGAACTTTGTCCAGGTCTTGCATCAAAAGAAAGATGGACATTTTCCAGTACACCTGCTTCAGATACAAGGCATTATGAAAAGCTCTAGCTTAAAAGACAAAACAAAAAAACAACAACAAAACCCTTAAATGCAATTTTAAACTTTATAATGCTGAGCTGTGTTTACCTGTCCCACTGCTCATATGACATGACTATTGAACTGTTCTTTTTTTGCATTTGACAATAATTGCYTCAGTTGTTAGAACCAGCTGGCAAGATTGCGTTCATGCATACTTAGCAGCTTAGGATATAGATTGTTTAGATCATGTAAACACTTGAAGTAGTTTGTGTACAGGACCCTGAAAGTTTCAAGTTTCTCATCCTGCTGTTTTTCCTATTTCTGCCTTTCCCTACTTTGCTGCATTCTTTGGCATTCACTCATGGAATATTTTAGGCTCGAGATTGGTGTTTGGGGGGAGAATACATGTCTCAGATATCAGCAGACAGAGATAAACCTGCCTGCCTGTTAACCCCTGCCAGTGACCTCCCCTGGGCTGAGTGCAGGACAGAAACGCGTCCTGCTGGGGCCCTGTCTGGCTTCACGGGGCTCCAGGGTTCATCAGATAGAGCAGCAGGACTGGAAAGTGTGAGAGGAGCACAGCTGTGTGTTAGGAGCTGCAAGCACTGCCTGGAAGTTCTCTTCAGCTGCTGGATCTTGTAACTCCATGGCTTCTAGCCAAGGATTTGCTGTAGACTTTTAACTGCCTTTGCTTGGACTTGCGGCCTGGGACTGGTTCCAGACAGCAGCGACTTGTGCAGCAGACAGAACTGTCCTCTTTTCTGTGTCCCGAGTCCCATAAAGCTGGGGAAGTGGTGGGAGGGTTAGGAGCTGAAGCTCTGTGGTAAAGGAGGGCATATAAAGCTATCATCATTGGTTCCACTATGTTCTTCAGGTTAGGCAGGCCAGAACTGAGCTGGATACTTAAGTTGTTGGTACCTTGACACTTTGGATCCAAGTGATGCCCCCAGACTTGATCCCATCCTGCTTGCTGAGAGGACGGTGCATTTTTCTTGGCTTTCTGTCTTAGTGCATTGAACTGGAGCACTGTCCACATCAAGTGTCACTGTCAGTGCAGTCCAAGCCAAGTCCCTTCACTTTGGAGAGCAAAAATGTGCTAGGCCACATCTACACTTGTGTCTAGATATAGCTCTGCAGCATGGGTCAAAGCTAGACCTTTTTTTTCCAACAAGTTATGCCAGGCTGTGTTGGTTGAGAGCCCCTAAACTTTAGCCTGCTTAAATGCCTGTTTTGGCTTAGCAATGTGTCAAATCAGTTCCATGAATGAGCAGATGAGAGCGGGTCACCTCTGATAGCCACTTCCTTCAGTGACCCATTTAAGTGTCTTTGTCCTGATTTTGAAGTCAGGGGCACCAGTGTGGAACTAGGCTCATGTCCTCACTCCACTGATGGCAGTGGGATAGAGCAGACACTAAGCCTTAACTCCTGCCCTGGGCTTTCTCTAGGCTGTCCCTGCTCTACAGTGAAACTGTTTTAATGCAGGAGCCAACATGCTGGCTTTATAGCACGTTTGCTAAGAATCAGATACTTCTAAAAAAAAAGCCTTGAGCTGGATGAAGTAAAAGAGAACCTTTCTTCTTGTCCATTGCTCCAGTTGGACCAGCTTTCTCTAGAGCTATTGCTCTCTTTCCCTATTTTATTATAACTCTTGGAAGATAAACTCTACAAGACTGTTCTGAGTTGTGCTTACAGTCTGGACATAAGGATTTAATGTCAAAACTGTTCAAGAAACTATCCAAATGGCCACACTGTACACTAAGTACACCCAGATAGGTGTACTTAGCACACRCTGCTCTGTGTGCATCTCTGAATCAATAAATGCAGTGGAGACTGTAGTTCCATTTGATAGTCTAGTTGTACAGGGAAGTTTCTGGGTAGTGCTGTATCTCGAGACCTGTTATTTGTCTGTGCTCTTTCCTTMCACTTAACTTCGAAGGCTTTTGCCAGTGGGTCACCCTCAGGATATGAAGCTGATGTTGGTGGCTACAGCCAAGTAATGGGTGTGCAGAGCTACCAAATGTGGCCTGCACTTGAGTTTTGTGCTCGTACCTCTCTGGCAACATGCGAGCACCCAAGGGCAGCAGCCCTGGAATGCAGAGGCTTGCAGGAAAAGGTTCTGGGTGAGGTAAGTGTCTGGAAAGTGTTTAGTAAACGTGTGTGGGGCAGAGCAGCCCACTCGGTGCTGCTCAAGGCCCAGGGAGGTTGTGTGTGTGCAGGGCTATGGGACTGGTTTTGCTGAGCACCAGCAGGCAGCTCCTGCTCGGTGGTTTCCCTGTCCGTGTGTCGCTTCCCCTCTGCCTTTGCCAGCAGGCTCCACAGGCCCCTTCCCAACCCGGCACCGTCCGCAGGCGGCAGGGACAGGCTGCGCTCCGGGCTCACCGGAGCTGCCACCCCCATCCYAAACACATGGATGGAAGTGAGGGACCTGAGCACACCTGCCTCCATGTCCCCTTTCCATCTGCTTGTTTTTCCCCCCTGTCTCTTCTACCTGGCTAAAACTGGAGCTTTGGGGTCAGATCAGAGAAATGGCCACTGGTGTTCCCTGGGTGGAACACTGGGGCATGGCACCTGAACGGCTTTCTGAGCTGTGGCTCTTAACCTGTGCAAAAGCACTCCCAAACCAGAGGTATCCAACACACAATTTTGAGCTCAGGCAGGGGGAAGGAGCTCTTTGGCTTTTTGGTGTGCCCTGAGGTGCATTACTGATCTTCTGCCTCTAGTAAAATCAGATCCGTGACAGTTTGTATCACATCACCTTCCCTGTGAGCTTCAGCGCCTGGCCATCAGTATCAACATCTGCTGTCATTTCAGCTGGTGGTTCAGTTATCTTAAGTGAGCTTAAGTTCTSACCTTAAGCCAGCTTCTGATGCAGCAGCTCAAGGGTTCATTGGAGCCAGAATCCAGGCCTGCTCAGCTCTGACTGCTCTTGTGGTTGCCTTTTCCAGGACTATCTTACTGAGCGTAATCTCCTTGCTTAATGAGCCCAACACGTTCTCTCCTGCCAATGTGGATGCATCAGTCATGTTCAGGAAATGGAGGGACAGTAAAGGAAAAGACAAGGAGTATGCTGAAATCATTAGGTAAGTCTTGCCATGTGTGATGCAACTAGTTTTCTGAATCCTTCAAAATGGGATATTTGCAGAATTTACTGAAACATTCTTGCTATGGTTGCTGCTTTGGAAATTAAATTTTGTAATGTTGAAGTCCTGGTTTCTGGCCCTGGTAGGTCTTTCAAAGTGGCACAAACTCCTAGAACAGAAGGACAAGGCTGACGTGTCATCAGATTGGTCTTTTCYGAGTAATGTGGCATGATGCTCTGCAAGGTCTGCGGGCTGTAGTGACTGCCAGTCGAAGTCACTGCTGTGCCTTGGGCACCGCCGGCCTTGCCTGGGATGTGAYTCAGACTGACGGCTGCATCCCACCAATTCTGTGCTTAATGCACTCGTGCATCRTAGCCTTGTCCCTTCGGTTGCAAGGAGCATCAGCAGGACCTGGCAAGCGCTGTGAGCCTGGGTTTGCTGGGCTCAAAGTGTGGTCAAAGCTGCGCAGAGGCCGAGAGCTCATCGGGTGCTGTGGGAAAGAAGGGAACCTTCATCCCTTGCGGCTGAGGAAGCACCAACGAGTGGCCCTTAATGCAGCGGGTCACACTTGCCTGGCAGTGCACCACGTCTGTGCTGGTGCAGCTGCTGGACGTGCAGATGGTTGGGCTGGTTGTGGTTGGGCTGGTTGTGCAAGGAGCCTCCCTGGGAGATGATCCGAGCCCTCTCAAGCTGCAGGGGCTCCAGCAGAGCCGGCTTTGTTGCATAAAGCCGAGTGTCGCTGAGGGGTGAAGGGCCGGGCTGCTCCCTGTTGCTGGCAACCAGGTCCGTGTGAGGAGCAGCCCAAACCCGGTGCTGCCCCTGTGTCCGGGGGGGCAGCAGGGCCCTGTGTCTAGGGGGTCACCACAGGCTCCCTGGTTGTGCCGAATGCTGGTGGGGAGCCCGGCTCAGAGCAGAGCGGGGTTGTCCCCAGCTGTGAGGAAGGCTGAGAGCAGCTCCAAAGCCACCTTGGGCAGCTCCTGTTGGGTGCTCCGGGTGTCCCTGCTGGAGCAGGGGGCTGGACTAGATGATCTCTAGAGACCCCTTCCAACCTGAGGGGTTCTGTGAAGGCCCCGATATCCCTCCCATGGCAGCTCCGGAGGGAAGGGACTCTGCGCTGTGGCAGCCTGAGGGCACCCTGGAGCGCCAGGACCCACAGCTGTGGGGCCAGACCCCCCATTGAACCCTGTGTGGCCACGTGCAGCGCTTGGAGCTGCTGGGGGCCGGCTGGGGAAGGGGGAGGCGGCGCGAGGAGCAGAGCYGGGGCAGGACGCAGCCTCCGTCACGCTGCTCCGTCCTCCTTCCCGCAGGAAACAGGTCTTGGCGACTAAAGCCGAGGCGGAGAAGGATGGCGTGAAGGTCCCCACTACGCTGGCAGAGTACTGCATCAAAACTAAAGTGCCTTCCAACGACAACAGTTCGGATTTGCTTTACGACGACTTGTACGACGACGACATCGACGACGAAGACGAGGAGGAGGAGGACGCCGACTGTTACGACGATGACGATTCCGGCAACGAGGAGTCGTGACCTGCTCCCTCCATGCCCCTGTACTGCCCTGCCGACTCAGGCCAGAAGGGAGCAGCGGTAACATAGCAGCAGTCCAGCAAAAAAGTGTGGGGGGGGGATCAACAAACTCTTGTCTCCTGCTGTCTCCTGTTGTATGGATCTGTTTGCTCCTTTTTTATGGACCTCTTAGAGACCCTCCACAGAATGTCTGAATTCTTGCATTCTTTGCCCTTTCATCACTGTATTATGATTTCTTTTTAAAAAAGAAACTCCCCTTTTCACTTCTCTACGAACCGCTCACAGCGAAACAGGTTTGCTCGCGTTTAGATTCTTTTTTTTTTTTTTTTGGAATTAAATACAGTCTTGCATTGAGATGTTTAATGTATTTAAAGCTGGAACAAACCCATTGGAAGCTGGGGTTTTTTAGGAGCTCAAGTGCTGCATTTGCTGGGAAGACAAAAAAAATCCACACAAAGCAAATTGCCAAGGTTTAGCTGCTCCATTTACAATAATAGCGTGTGTACATTCGTTTAGCCTTGTGGTGGTGGCTTTTCCTTTTCAAGGTGTGGGGCGGAGAGTGTAAAGCTACTGTGTGTTGAGCTTGGTGGGATGTTTCCGAAAGGTACAGTATTCCTTTTCAGCCTGCTCAGGGTAGGAAGGAGGCGGCCCTGGGAGCCTCGGAGGGCACAATCAGCTTTGGCTTTGGAAAAGGCTTGTGATATGAACCCTGAAATAAACACTTAACTCTTCACATCTGTACAACTGAGCCCTCGGTTGCTATTTATTTTTTGATTTTTTAATGTTTTTTTTCTTTTTTCTTTTCAGATGAGGTTGGGGTTGGAGAAGGGGCCGGTGCGTTTGTGCCGGCCTYTCCCCGCAGCGCTCCCTGCTGCCACGGGAGCCTCCCCCAGGGCCGGCCTCAGCCTGGCCGCGTTTTTGGGAGAGACCCCTAGGAGCTCCAGCCTCCCTCCCTCCTGGCAGCCCCTGCTTCCCGCAGTGCAGATCCCGCTCCTGCCCGAGCCCTTCCTGCTGCTGGGGGGGACGTGGTGCTGCCCTAGTGCTGCTGMTAGGGAAGGAGGGTCCAGGCCTGTAAGCTGGGTCTGTCCTGCAGCCYGGGGCTGTGCTGGGGAGCGAGGGCRTCCTGCAGCCCTGGAGGTGGAAGGAGGGTGAAGCTGGAGGGCTGGAAGAGGCTGGGATCGGGCACTCAGCCCGCTCCCCTGCGTGTTCCTGGGCACTCCTAGCCCAGCCCGCGGCCTCCTTCCCCCTCGGGATCCTGCCTGCTCCTCCTAGGGCTCCTCAGCTGCCCCTCAGCGTCCCAGCCGGGCCTGAGCGTCGCTCTGGTCAGGCGCAGGGGGGTAGGTGGGGACATTGGAGCCTTTTTGCTGTCCCGGGGGGAGAGAGGGGCCGGTCCCTGTGCTCAGTGCTCCCTCACCAGCTGTGTGGCCTGCGGTGCCAGGGGCAAACGGGGCCCAGGGCCTCTGCYGGCTGCTCTTGGGGCTGGTTCTGCCTAGGCGGGGCTGCAGGTTGTGCCTGGGGGCAGGGGCTCAGCCCAGGGCACGGGGGCTGGCCCTGGTGCAGCTCCCCGGGCCCTGTGACCCAGCGTGTCCTCCAGCGAGGCTGCCTCGGCCTCGAGCGCTCGCTCAGCTGCCGCCCTGCTCCCCCTGCCCCGGGAGGCACCGACCTGGGCGAGCAGCAAGGGGAGCTCCTGCCCTAGGGCTGCTTGTGTCCTGTGGGGAAACCCGCCTGCAGCTTTGGGGGGGTGTGGGGGGCTCTGGGGAAAGGAAGGAGCCCGAGTGGGGCCAGGTTGGAAAGGCGGATACTGCATCTTTCAGGCGCTCCATGCACTGCTGCCTGTCTGCTCTCCAGTGACTTGTAGTTCAGGCTTGATGTTGTAAGATGTGTTATCATGATTCTTCTGTTACCTCCTCACCCCCCTTTTTTTTTAAGGCCACAAAAAAGGGAGAAAAAAAAAAAAAAACCACCCTATTTTGAGAGCTCCTGCATTAACCGGACTAATTTCTCTCCCCTCCCCTCAGCCCTTGCAGTGTCATTGTTTGTTGACTTGCTGGTTTCCTTTYGTTGAGATACAAACTGAAATGTGTTTTTTGAAGCTTAATATTTAAGAGATTGAGGGAAAAAAAATGTTTACCTTCTCTGTGCGGTCTGGTTTTCTCATCCCTCGTTTTCCTGCCTCCGCCAATAGTAGGGTTTAYATTTGCAACTCTGCTCCCCCCTCTCTTCAGATGCAGTTTTCAATCATTCTGAAACCAGCAGGGTACACTAGGTCTCTTAGTAGTTTTCTTAGCTGAAATCCCAGGGTTTTTTTTTTTTTTTTCAGTATAATTTACCAGACTTAACTGATGCTTTCTTTTTTTTTTTTTGTGTTGTCTCTCCCTCCCGTAGTTATATTTTGTCTTTTCTGCACATCTGTCTACTAATAAAAATGTGAAATGAAAATAGCTCTGGCTTGTTCCTTCCCTGTTAACCAAGCTGGCTTGCATGGGTTATTTAAGGCTCTGAAGCGCAGTGCTCGCGCAGCCAGCTCTGCAGCGTGATCCTGCAGAGCAGGCCCAGGACGGGGCAGAGAGGTATGTGGAAAAGAAGGGAGTGGGGGGGGGGAATAAGTGTCTCATTCTCTGCTAAAGAACAACCTGCTTTAATCCAGGAGTGGTGCCAGGAGCTCCTGCCTCTTTCCTATTGTCTTTCCCATTCTTCTTGAGGGCCTTGGGGCGGTTTGCCCTCCCTCCTGGTGGGTCCTGCTGAGCTGAGGTTGGAGTGTGTGTGGGGACAGAGCAGCACAGGGGCTATGGGACAAGCTCCCCCAGGGCCTCTCTGCAAGGAAGGAAGCCATCCGTGGAGCTGGAGGAGGTCAGAGCTTGTAGAGAAACCTGCTCTGCGCTCAATCTAGGCCGTAGCTTCGGTGTTAGTGCCACCAGGAACCCACCTCCTGCTAGCGGCCTGTTCCCTACGAGCTGGATTATTTTGGGAGGGTTTTCTGCAGCGAGTGAGTGCTGCAGTTGGGCTAAATTAGCAGGACGGAGGCCTGTCAGGCTGTACGTGCTGCACTGGGCAGGGAGCGGGGCAGCACTGCTGCCTCCATCCCTTCTGTGGCCCGGGCAGCCGAGCCCAGAGGCAGCGCTGGAGGAAAGCAGGTTGGAGAAGGACTTGGAGGCTTCGCAGCAGCTGCGCAAAGGGCTGCAGGTTGGAGCGTCACACCTGGCAAGAGCTGCTGGCAGGGGCTGGAATAGCAGAGCCTGCCCGGGCTGCTCCCGGGTGGGCGGCGCTGCCCAAGCGCTCGGCCCTGCTCTGCGCCCCCGCGGGCAGCTCCGCGGCCTCAGCTCTAACCTGAAAGGACTGCCAGGACCTGCAGGGGAAACTGATGCAAAAGAAACCTGCCTTAGCAAGGGCCAGAATGATGGACAACATCTCATTTTGCCTGAGCCACAGACGAAGGGAYGGAGGGAAATTTGCTTGTATATGTGAGGCATTTCAAAAAAAAAAAACAAACAAAAAAAACCCCCAAAACACCAGGACTAAAGCTCACCTGTGGGAGCAGCTCTGAGCACAGGTAAGAGCTGCCCCTGCTGCAAGCCCAGGGCCTCTGGGGGAGCACCGGGGTTAGGCCGGGGCTGCTCCAGGCTCCGCTGCTCCCCGCAGCACGAGGGGCAGTCGCAGCCGCTGGGCTCCTTCGTGCCCCTTGTGCAGGGACGGAGGTGACGCTACGGAGGTCCCTGCTGCTCTGAGGAGCGGGGCTGTGTCCCCAGCGCCACGGGACAGGGCCCCGGCCCCTCTCCTGCGCCCAGGGCCCCGTGCACTCACCTTGGCYGCCTCCATCCGCAGCCGGCGCAGCCTCTGCTCCCGCTTCTCCCGCCCCGAGGGAGAGGAGGCCGCCAAAGCCGAACTGCTGCTGGGGCCGTGGAAAACGCAGACAAACACCAGTGATACGCTCAGATCTTTATTAGGTGGAGTAAGGGCTAAAAAGAAATGAAACTCCTAAAACATTCACCGCACTGGTGCAGGACAAGAAGGACCAGGAGGCGCCTCCATAGTCGTTGTTTTAAAAAAAGTGGGGAGGGACGGGGTGACGGGCACAGCCAGGAGCTGGGGCTGGCCTGGGCAGGGTGGCTCAGGGCAAAAAGAGGGACCAGAGACAGCTTATACTTTTATTTAAGAAACCGCTACATAGGTTTTTTTTTTTCTTTTTCTTTTCTTTTTTGCCTCTAATGATGCAAAGGAGGTTCCAGGACACACTGAGCCATCCAAAGTCTCTTGCTAGAGAAAGAAACAAACAAAAAAAAACTGTCTTTTTATTTAAAAATTGAAAAATGAGAAGGTGAGGCTGCAGCTCAGGGCCACCAAACTGCCCCTGCGAGTTCATCGGCCACAGCAGGAGGGAGGCGGGAGACAAAAGAAAGGGGAGGGCCCACAAAACACTTTTTTTTTTTACTTTTTTTTTTTCTTCAGTTTAAAGTAACAGCTAKAGTGGGGGGTGGAGGCAGAACTCAAACCATCAGGACAGATCTTGATTCTTTTTTTTTTTTTTGGGAGGGGCCAGGCCTTCTTATTTGCCTGACTTTAGAACTGCATTAAATAAAGGGGCTGCAGCTCCAATAAAAGTGGTGCAGTTTGTCTTTGACAGTTAAGCCCATAGAGCTTTAAAAAAGAAAAAAAAACAACCCAACAAAACAAGGAAAGATGCCCTGGTGCAGATGGGAAATGAATAATTAGTTTCCCTACAAAGAAAATAAAACAGGCTGCAAGATGCAGAAAACCACATTTAGGCTCTATTACATTTACAAATACATACATAAATATATTACATACAACAGCAACTCAAAGAGGAAGCGGGCGAGTCACACAGAGGATGGCTGGCTGGCTGCAGTTCTCCCCGCACAGACGTTTGGCTGAGCAGTTACTTCTTCTCCTAATAGTTCCAGGAATGGGCTTCGGCTTTTCTTCTTTTTCTTCTTTTTTTTCTTCCTCTCTTTTTCTTTATTTGTATTTATTTATTTATTTATTTTTAATTTCCTCCTCCTTTCCTTTCGTTCTCTTCCCCCCTCCCCGGTTCCGGATTTAGTTTGTCCAGTATGGAGAAGTGCCGTAGGCGGTTTTGGTAGCCTGAGACTTTTGCTGCATGGTGCTGGGTTGGTTGCGCTGGCCAGATCCACCCTGGGAAGGGAAAGGGGACACGGACAGGGCCGTCAGGGCGCGGGAGCCGCGGGGCTGCTCCAGCAGCGCCGGCCCCACGCGACACCCGGGCTCCGTGGGGCCTTTCCTGCTCCTCCTCAACAGCTCCAGCTCTATCAGACCAAGGCAAACGGCCCCCGCAGAGGACAAGGGGCAGCATCATCGTGACCCCGTTATCTGGGATGAGTTAGTTGTGGGAAAGGAGGCAGCCCCCCCCTTCACTGCAGCAGGTGACAGTCACCTTCCAGAGGACTATGGAGACAAGGGAGGTCGGGGTTATAAAAACTCGCCCTCCATCAGAAGACCATTTCTCTGTGTAGTGTTGCCAGAGGCCCGGGATCACAAGGGAGGAGAACAGCAGGGCTGGGGCTGGCAAAGCGCTTCCCCAAGGTGGGCGAGGACGACGCACCACACAAAGATGTCAAACGTCCTGCACAGAAGTCACTTCCTATTTCAGGACTCTAAGGCAGAACACTGTGTTTTTCAGGGAACAGGATTATAGAGAGGAAGGCAAATGCAACGGGCAGCGAAACCAAATCAGAAACAGGAGCTGACCCACAATTTGCCAGGGGACACTTGCTTTTTTCCCCCCAGGCTTGCACTGTAAGTGTTCCAACCCCCCTTTTCCATGTCCTGGCCAGGGAAAGGCAGCGGCTGCTGCAGCTCCACACCCCGCTGCCCGTGTCTGCCTGTGCCCACGTCAGAGGAGCCCCCCGGAGCAGGGCTCAGCCCCACACGTGCCCCAGCCCGTGAACAGCCTGCAGGCACGAGCAAGGCCCAAAGCAGCAGAGCTGGGGGTGGGCAGGAGCCACGTGCACCCAGGCCCTGCGCACGGGCGCCGACTCACCTGCCCATCTTGCTGAAGATGATGATGCAGCATCTGGGAATGAGGCTGCTGATGTGCAGGCAGGATATGGAGAAACGGGGCTGGAGCGTAACCCGGGGCAGCACCAGGGTTCAGGGGCCCAGTGGATCCGAGAGCAGACGGCAGGCTGAAGGGGGGCGGCGTGCCAGCGTGGAACCCCTGCTTGTCAAACGTCTGCGCGGGAGGCAACGGGGAGATGATCAGAGACGCGTGCGAGCAGCCCCACGGCGACCAAAGAACAAGAGTGGCCTGGACATGGGTCACTTGAACCTTTCTGCAACCCTGCGGGCAAGCCAAGGTGGATCGAATACCTGCGAGCACTTCAGCACATGAGTTTCAGATCCTGTCCTCACCTTTTATTTTCTCTAATGCCTGCAACTTTTCTAATTCTTTTATTTCATTTCCACAGCTATCGTGTTGCTTTTTTGACCCTGACCCTCTTTCTTCTTCATGGGACATGGAGGATATAGTCTCCYGAGTCCTTCGCTCATTGCGGGGCGCTCAGGCTGGAATTACTCGACCTGGTCACTGCTGCCCAACAAGGACACAAGCAGAAATTCCAGCAGGAACTTTGTTTGCCCTGGCCAAAGCTTCACACTGGTGCCAAGCAGCGCGTGTGAGAGGCAGCATCCTACCCACAGGCACGGATCACAGCCAAGCCATCGTGCAGGGCTCGTTTCCCACTACTTCTTGGTTGGCTCTCTGCAGAAAAGCAAACCGCCTCTTAACTCGGTCACTCTGGGGCTAAAAAGGCTTTTCCCATTTGATTTGCACCCAGGATACAGCACATACAGGGTGACAGCACAGAAAGCTCTATCTGCACTAGCAGCTTCCTTTAGGAGTTCACGTGGAAAGAGTGGTGGGATAGAAGATGAGACTTTTCCCCCAAAACAAACTGAGCAAGTATTAAAAAAAAGCCAAAATCTGCTGCCTGTGGGATGCACAGGCCTGGGAATTGTTCCCATCTGCCACAGGGGAAGTCCTGCTGGGGTGCCAGTGAGCAGGGAGACCCTGTTGGTGACCCTGCGTGTGCAGGGTGGCTGGACTAGACCTCCAGAGGTCCCTTCCAACTTCAGGGACTCTATGATTCCAGGGAGCCCTGGGCCTGGCCGCAGGCCAGGGGGAGGAGGGGTCAGCGTTCCTCACCTGAGTCTTGTTATAGACTGAGCCACTGATATCAGGCACACCTGTGTTACTTGAGGTCACAGAAACACCTGGAAGACAAAAAGCCACCAACAGTGAGAAAGCCAAACGCCACCCAACTCGAACCCTGTGCTTGCTCTGCTGTGGGCACCTCTGGTGGCATCAGTGGATGYTCCTTCATCCTTGGCCACCGCACCTCATGCTCTACTGGGCTGGCTTTTCCGTGCCCTGACCTGCAGCACCCCACACAGGAACACAGAAAAGGGCTCGGTTCCTCACTCCCAACCCAATGCAAAGGGAACCAGCCCATGAGACTAGGTCACCCATGCCCACTACACAGATTTACAGCTTAGATTCAAAGACACTTTACTGGGCAGTAGCTGGCTGCACAGAACACTCATTTAGCTCAAGAAAAGCCACTTTCCCCTAGGATTAGAAACACATTTGGCTCTATTACAACATTCAAGGCCTTTCCAGTAGCGCATTGAGCAATGAAATTCAGCATCTGCCAAACATTTGTGCTTTTGTACTTTTGCATCATGCAGAAGGGTGAGGTCCGCAATGCTCCTGCACCCAGAGAGAATTAAATTATACCACAGATTCAGGCTGGCTTCTACCTGGATCAGCTGGTGCCAGAACAAGCTCAGGAACAGTCACTTACCAGCAAGGCGACTCTCAAGCTGGTCACTCACTCCCAGTCTAATAAAGACCAGCTCTAATCATGTCACTTAGACCAGAACAAAAGCAGTGCTTCCTCAGTCAGAGGACTGGAGTTGGTGTCTGCACTGCTCTAAGGCTGCTCCTTCCCTAGAAGACTGCTCCTCTTGGCAGGCCATGGTTTGAGCAACTCTCAGTTCAAGACTTAGGTATTTATATTGTTCAGGGCAGTTGATGCTTCAAACACACAGCAAATACTTGGTCTTTGCTTAAGCCCAGGGATGAACTAGTTAGTGCTAAGCAGTTTACTATGTTTCTCAGGTCTAACCAGCATGTGTAGAATAAAGCTTTCATAGAAGCTGTATAAATTCTTTCGCCTTTACAATTACTAGGAAATCACTTCCAGGCATGAAACAGTGCAATGAGTTATGGAGTGTACAGAGAGCAGCTGAAACAACAGCTTAGAGATGTGTGAACTGCCCTGCTCATTCCTAACACAGAGCTCACTCAGGTGCCTAACAACGATCTCAAAATCCAGTCTTCATTTGGCAGAAGACCATTTCAGCAGCAGTCCCTGACTGCTCAGGGCTCAGTGACACGGCACTGCTGCTATCCACCAAACCCAAACTTTGGCAGAGGACACAGTTCACCATTTCTCCCACGTGTAATTGTGGACAAAGCTGCATGTCAGCCACACAGATTCTTATGCAAAGTTCAGCCATTCGATTTAGAAGAAACATTTGGGACAGTAAAAAAAAGCATTTTGTATACGGGAGATGGAGAAACAGCGTGGATTTTGACCCTGTTCACAGCTGGCTGCTGGGTTGACTGCACAGCACTGGCGATGCTGGGAGTTTGCCCTGCTAAATCCCACGCAGAACGCCCTCAGCTCTCATGTGTTACCTTTCCCAGGTCCAGTGCCAGCAGATTTGTTTTGTGCTTGAGATGACCCACTGTAGCCTCCTTTGCTGTAATCTCCAGCTGCCGTTCCCTGCGTTAAGTCATCATAGCCTGCCGGTGTGTACAAGACAAGGTGTTACAGGGTGCAAGCGGCTCTGCGGGCGCTCCGGTGGAGAGCGCGGATGAGAAGYGTACCTGCTCCGTAGCCATGCTGCCCATAGCCACTCGCCTGCTGGAAAGGAGTCGAAGCTGTGTTCAGATTGACTCCGTGCTGCTTAGCAGATGCTGGAGGTACCTAGACAAACAAAGGGAACAAAAGGCATTCCGAMCGGGAAAAGCAAGCTCCCTCTGCCATCTAGGGGAAGGCACCTCGCATGGCRAGTGTGGAAAGTGGAGCAGCTCTGGGATGTACCATGCAGCGCAGAGGAGAGGTGACACTCGCCCTGCGAGCTGCAGCTTCTGCAGGGGCTCTGTGCAAGCCACAGACTTGCTGCTGCACGTGGCAAGAGCTGTCACGAAAGCCCCAGCTTTGGTCTCAGCCACGGCTTGGGARAGGCCATGCACTTCTTTTACACGTGTATGAAACCTAAGCAGCAAGTTCTTGCCCACGAAACAGAAAAGGATCAGCCATGGTGCTCACCATCCAGAATCGAAAARAACACCAGCCTGGAAGGCCCTGCCTGGGGTAGTTCCATAAAACACAAACCCACACGGCCCTAAAATAGAGGCATTGACCCTTCTGCCTTGAGCATCGGACTCAGCCTTGCACCTCCCTTTAACCCCCTGAAGGCTGCTATGGGCTTTAAGGAACATAATGCCTCAATGAGCTATAGCTGTTATATACAGCCACACAGCTGTTATATACAGCCACACAGCTGTTATATACAGCCACACAGCTGTTATATACAGCCACACAGCTGTTATATACAGCCACACAGCTGTTATATACAGCCACACAGCTGTTATATACAGCCACACAGCTGTTATATACAGCCACACAGCTGTTATATACAGCYACACAGCTGTTATATACAGCYACACAGCTGTTATATACAGCYACACAGTAGCCTGTGTAGGACTCCATGAACTCTAGCCTTTTGTATTTCCTCTTTTCTTGGGGAAGGGACTGTGATTATTTTTCTCAGCCTTGCACAACAGTTTCATTGGAAACTTCTTGCAAAACAGGAAGATTTAGGTGGTCGGGACTGAACAGAGCAAAATCAGAGAAACAAAGAAAAACCTATGGTTTCGGCTGTCATACTTACAAACATGGTTGGCCCATACTGGAATGCACTGGGTACTCCTGGCACACCAGCGTAGTAAGGTAGCCCAGTATAGCTGTACCCTGGGGGCAGGGTGGGGTTGAGGAAAGGCTGCTGCGTTGTGTGGTGGGTCTGCGTCTGGTTCTGCTGCGGCTGCGCCAGCGTGGTGGCGGGAGCAGGGGAGGCAGAATCCCCACGACCAAATTTTGTTACATCACCTGCAAAAGAAATAACTCATCAGAACAGCTAAGAAACTCACTCCCAAGAGGATCCTCCGCATACAAATAAACAACTACAAAATGGACTGTGTCCTACACTTGAAGGACTACAGATTTTCATGGGATGAGCTCTCCTGGTCCCTCTATTCCTGACCTCTATTCCAGTGGGCACTGCTCGTCTTGGCAGAGAATTCTGCGCCACGGTTAATCCATCGAAAAAGTGGAGGTATCGATACTTACCTCTCTATCACAGACTGAGAAGATTCATCACTGTTAGACCATTGCAGTAAAAACATGCTGAAAGCGTAAGCACAGTAATAGCCAAAGAGCAAATGGTTGCTGGGTTAAAGCATGGCTTTCCTAAAGGTTAACCCGATTAGTTAAGCTTCATGGGCTGAGAGCAAGTTAGGTTTTACAGGCAACAACGGGCATGTTTTTTGTCAATATCTATTTATTTGTCAAGCATGAGTAATTAGATGTCCGATTCCTCACACCACCAAAGGTCTGGAGACAGTAGCTGGAGGCCAGGAAAGCAAGGCTTGCATCGTGGGCCACCTTATTGAAGAAGTAGGAAGGGAAATGTGGTTATTAACCCCAAAGCAGCCTCCTGAGAGAGGTGAGTAACCAAGCAGAAAACTCCCAACACACTTGCTTTTTTTGGGGGTCTAAMAAATTGGCATATTTGCTCCTTTTTAGGAAGGTGACACGTATCACATCTGTCTCATTCCTACCCAGTATTCCTTTTGTTAGCTGCCAACAAGTGTGACAAATTTCAATAGCTGCAGTATAAGAACCGTAACACCTATGGCTGCAACCAGATACCAGCAGGAGAAAACCACAAACTCAAAATCCGGGCAGAAATTCATGTATTCTGTGCAGGTTGATAATTGAAAGACATGGTTTGAGATGAGGACGGGGTTCTTAGACCACACATGTTTGGAAATTAAGTCCCTCAGGCTCAAGGAGGGAGTGGGGGAGCCTGCTCGACTCAGCTCCTGGTAGAAACATAGAAGTGCAAAAGTAGCAACAACAAAGTAAGGGGAGCAGATGATAAAGGTCTGAAATGGTCTATTCTAAGGGAAATGAAAAGGAAAGAAAACTAGAAAGCTAGCTGAATTTCTAAAGAAAAAAAAGAAGAAAGCTATGAAATTATCTGTATATTCTTGGGAAAGGCAGTTGACAATAGTGCCATTTATATTTTAAATATTTTCGCACTGGTTATCAAAGACAATCAAATTGTCCAATTTTATCCCAGGAGGAGTCACATAAAAATTACCGTCTGTGTATGCATATATGTATTATATATATACACACATATATGTAATATATATATAAAAAAGAGAAAAATCAACATAGATTATATAAGAGAAAAATCAACATGGATTAAACTACTTGTAGAAGGGACAAATGATTTCTCTTTCAGTAGCGGCACGATGATCTACATTTAAGTTACTGTCCTCATCTCAAGACGTCACTCACCTGAGTATGGGTTGTTAGCAAGGCTCCCATCTCTGCCTGTTAAGGTTGCAGGAGCAGGGAATGTAATTCCATAGTAATCCTGTGAGACAGAGAAAAAGAGAGAGAGAGAGCAGAGAGAGAACACCATGTATTAATAGTCAAAATCGTAACAGGTAGTTCTTCTGACAGTTATATAGATTTAAAAAAATGAAGAAGCAGGAAATAAAGGAGCCTCGTGCAGACGGTGACCTTTGAGCTTAGGGCAGAGCTGATTCTCCAAAACAAAACAAAAACAATGCAAGACAAAAGTGCTTTAGGGACACTTTTAACATCAACTACAAATCTGCCYGTCTGTGCAGCCAGCCATGTCCGTGTCACTTGTGTGGCCCCAGGGGACACACACAGCCTCGCTTCCAGCTGAACCTGCAACGTGCAGCACAGCAGCCACATCTCAGCCTGGAAAAGGGAGATCCCGGGACCGTGGATGCTTCGGGGTGGGTTGGGCAAAAGGGACCCCCAGGAGCAGCCTTTATAGCCACGCTTATCAACACCCTCTTATCAACTCCAGGATAAATCACTTTTCATAGAACACCATCAAAAATTTTGTCAGAACAAAGTCACGCTTTCTTCTCCTTCAAAAGAAGAGTCACAAAAGCAGATTTGGAGAAGAAATCTGAACAGGATCTGCTGGATATGAACTAGAAGGGACAAACCAGTTTGTTTCTCCTGTAGAAAGCAGAAAAAGCTTAAGCAAACCTGAGAATGGCAGTCTAAGAAATCCAACTAGTCTCACTGTTTCTGAGGTGGGGGAAAAGCAGTATTTCCTTCRGCAGCAGCCCATATCCTTAACCTCAGACACACCCCTCATGAGAAAACCTGAGTGCAGCCCATTACTTTCAAGCTTGAAGCAGAAAAAATAGCTCTTTAAATAATAATTTGCTGTTTAAAATGTGCTCTATAGACATCTCTTGGCCCAACAYGCACCTACCTAACACATACAGAAAGAATACACTTCAGACAGGGAAAACCCACGATTAATCAGGGGAAAACCTCATTAGCGTTGCGTCAAAGCTCTGCTCCCTTCCTAGAGGAGTGGATCACTTTCACTTTGCACTCGAAACACTTTCACTTTCTAGATGCAAGGGACACTGAAACACTATCAAACTATTTYGTCACCCAAACAAGAAAGTCCCACCAGATCATTCCATTCAGCTTCAAATGACTGAGACTCTAAAGAAGGACACACACAGACACTACTGAAATAAAATAGAGGAAGGACAACAAATCATAAAAATACTTCAGGAAAACTCCTCAGCAAACTCTCTTCAATCACTCAAAAATTTCACACACACACAAAAAAATATTCTACCACTTTACAAGCTATTCTGAAAGACAAAAACCTGTGCTATATTAGCAAAGCTAAAGATGACAAAAAAGCAACAGGAAATCACAAAGGAAATGAAGAAATATTAAAAGTTTTAAAGCATCTATTAATATACAGCTTTGAGCAAAAAGAGAGAAAATATAAGTAAATACAAGGAAAACGGAGAGAAGTAGCCCAAATAAAAGSAGATATTGATAAGGAAGGAAACTTGAGAATAAAACCAGGAAACACGGCCTACAACAAAGAGGAAATGAAAATACCTGAACATATCCCAAGGAGATCTGTCCAGGACAGTCTCTGCCCCACAACAATCCCCACAGAAAGACACGGGCACAAAAACCAGGCTCTCTGAAAGGGTCGCCCCACAGCACTCAAACCAAAGGCCTGGGAAAGAAGAGGACTCTCCCACATCAGTAGCATGGACACTGCATGGAAACATTGCAGGTGCCAAACAGAAGTCATAAGGAAAAAAATTCCAAACAAACAGAAATGAAAACTGAAAATGGAAACAGGGAAATTCTCTACATCAAGAAAATGATGAAGGGAAAGATGGTGTAAGAGACTGCTCGGGACTGATACGAGGATGCGGCACCRAATAAAGCCGCACRCCCTGCACACCCTCCGGCACAGCGCTCGCCAGCACCACCAAGGCTCACAGGCCTCCCGCACGCCAACACCGCTCAACTCAACACACCACCATGGCTGCGCCCGCAACACCACAGCCCTGCCCGTGGCGCCGCGCTCCCCTGCTCCTGCTTCTCCTGCCCGCTCTCGCYGCTGCCCTCGCCTGCAACAACCTCCGCACACAACAGAGCACCTTCAACGYGGACGCCTTCCAGCTCCTGCGCACCATGGCTCCCAACCGCACCGTGCTCTGCGACCAACACAACRCACCTTTCTCCTTCCCCGACACCCTGCTGACAGACAACCACCCGCAACAAGACACCAAGACCATCCTACACATCCTCCAGCACCTCTTCAASATTCTCAGCAATGAAAACACGCCTGCYCACTGGCACCRRCAAGCACACCASCAGCTTCTCAACAAGCTTAACCATCACATCCAACATCTCCAGGAATGCCTCAAGGACGCCACCACGCCTTCCACAAGCCAAGGGCCCCGCAACTCCCGCCTCGCCATCAACACATACTTCCGGCGCATCCAGGACTTCCTCCGCACRCACAACCACAGCGCCTGCGCCTGGGACGTCGTCCGCCTCCAAGTTCACACCTGCTTCCTAAACATCCACAAGCTCACACRGAGAATCGCAACCTGCTCGGCTCCCTCCTTAYAAAGACCAACCAACACAAACATCAACCTCAGCCAGAGGCCACCAAGACACAGCAGGCATCTACAGCAACGACTTCCACTTACAGGCACCACGCAGCCCTCCACCGCACAGGGCACCACGCCACCTGAGCAACAGGCATGACRGCGCTCAACACAGCAGCACCGCAGCCCGCACACCCACAGCACCCCAAACACTGAGCAGGGCCACAGCCTCCACGCAGCGCAGGATACAGCTCCACACAGACACGGTGCACATGAAGGCACAGCAGCGACGCTCGGGGAAAAGGGACACTACTTACCACCCATGGCGTTCTACGCCCCTTCTCGACTGCAGCC